TCAAATCTTGAAAACCAAGTCCAGTGGATATTTTTTGAATTTTTACAGAATGACTATGACCTGGATGACTGAGAACCTTCATCAGCATGTTACTGTGGAGGAGCTACAATGATCCATAGCTCTAGAGGAAGAATCTGTTGAACAGTTCATCCATTATTGGTAACCTGGACAGCCAAGCCGACTTACTTCCAGTTTAAGTCAGCCCAGCTGGCCAGGCTACCAATAATGGTGCACTCCACAAATCTAGTCTTCATTATATAACGGTGAAAAAAATAAATTCACACAGCCAGAGATTCTATAGAATGGCTTTGGTCAAAGTGTATCCATGCCGGTCAGAGTGGAAGCCATAGTCGCTTAAACTGGCTCTGGTGATGTGAAATCTCAGCCCATTGACTAAACAGCAGTTAAAAAAGTACCAGGCCTTCTTAGGCCTTCTCAAGGGTTCATGGGAGTTTGTGGAGCCAGGGGCCCTTAATCTGTGGCCATCCAGTCGCCGTACAGGCAGAGCAGGCGTTTGGTTCTCATTGCCAGCATTACTAGAACATACCTGTTCTGTTGGACTCCAGCATGGATGCCTTCTGGCACTGGTCCTGTTCAAAACCATTATTAGACTTATTAGGGGTGTTTCACGACCAATGGATTTTGTTCCTGCTTTTTGCAGATGACGAGGTTCTACTGGCTCCCTCCTCTGAAGACCTATAGCACGAACTGGGGCGGTTTGCAGCATAGTGTGAATGAGCAGGGATAAAGATTGCCTTGGACATCCTTTTCAGATGCCCTCTGGACACCTACTCCGACAGGTGGTCCTGGATAAGCAGAAGACCAGGAGCACGAGCACTGAAGTTTTTAGTTGGTGCTTAAGAAATAAAATATGAAAAGGTTTAATGGGTAGGAATACTTTTTCAAGGCACTTCAAGACACTGTACATGATGGAGTGGGACTGCAGAATGATTTCAGTGAAACCTTTGAAGATGAAGGTCTCCAGCAAAATAACTTTTGTTTAGTTCTCACCTTCCTAAAAAATCTTGTGTGGTAAAGAAATCACAAAAAAAATAAAAAAATAAAAAAACCAAGTGGTATTCTTAGTTTTCTGTGCATATTGCGGCAGAAAGTGATCTGATTGAATCCAGACAAGGCATTCGCTACAGGGCAGGAATTTCTGCCACAAGTGCAAGTTTTCCACTGATGGGAACCATACTGGGGAAGGGTTGCAGCAAGAGTCTCATTACAGGATTTCAAGTGCAACACCCTGGGTCCACACCCCTCACCTCAGTCCCAAACTCAAGCCACAGCACACAGCATGCCACATCACCCCGGGAACACATAGCGAGCTGTAATCCATCGGTGAAAAGGATGATGTCCTCAAATTGTGCTTTTAGCAGGTAAAATCTTACAGCTGTTTGGCAGAGAAAGAAAAAAAAAAAAAACCCATACGAGGCATATGCTGGGGTAATTTGTTTTAGGAAACCAAGCTACTTCAAAGGCATGGGGAAGGGCTCACTGCATGACAATAACTACAAGGGAAAATGTGCAGTGCATCTTTACAGGTGTTCAGTGCTTCAACCAAGAGACTCTTCGTTAACTATACTTAAGGAAGATCTATGAAAAAATATAGACAGAAAATATTGCTGTTGTAATAAGAAGAACAGCACGTCAGCACATCTTAACCTTATTTTCAATAAACAATTAAATTAAAACAAGACCCTGCCTTCTGATGATGATTGAAAATAAAGATCAAGCAAATGAAATCTATGTATATGTGGCATTCTCCTTTTCCTTCCAAGTAATTCTGATTAACAGCTTCTTTTAATGTTGGCATTTTGTTACAGCGAGCTACACCCACACCATCCACCACCCCAGGGAACCACCCAGCTCAGCACACAGGAGGCTTTTAACTTTATCCTCCTTTTAAAATGGCAGCTTTTTCTCTGCATTTAATGACTAATTTAAAAAACACTGCAAGTTATTCTGACCAGAGAAAATGATCTGCATTACACCTCCATTTAACAGTTAGCTAATGCTAAACCTGGGTTACGTTTTATTGCTTGTGTTGTGATTCAATGCTTTATATATTTACATATTATTATTATTTATTTATTTTTTTTTAAATATGGGGCCTGTAAAGGATCATATTAGGAAAGAAAGAAAGTAAGTAAAGCTATGTACGTTTGTAACTAAGGAGAATAGCAGAATAAAAAGATGTCTCTGAAACAGACACGGACAAATAAATGCACTGTTGGATTCGGTAATTTTTAGCAGAGGTTGAAAAAATTTCCCTCTTTGTTTAAAACAGTAAATCTGCATAAAGGTCAGAATCATACTCATTAAATATAGTTGCATTTTCACTGACCATCAAATTGTGCAAATGATGACAAAAATATGTTTTCTTAATGAAAACATACCAAATAAAGAAGAACAAACGCCAAAAAAAAAAATTAAATAAATTTTTTTGATCAAAAGCTTTAAAGCCAAGATCAGGTAGAATCAAACTGTGGGTATTTCACAAAACAACAAGGTTTCAGTGTTCCAGTTGCAAACATTAGAGTTATTGTTACACATTCTGAAAACCAACTCCTACACAGAACATCAAGCTAAGCTCCTGTGAAGAGTTTGATCAAAGCCCAACAGGTCACTGCTGTGCACCAACCGGCCCCACTGAACCTCAGAACTCC